TTTTTTTCAAACTGACAAGATAAAATTGGTTTTAAGTAGCGTTTACACAAATCTAATTTCTCAAGGGATGGACTTCTTCCAACAATAATTGCTTACAACCAAAAAGCGGTGTTAGCCCCAAAAATTGCTACTCTTCTACTTTCTTCCCCGTCGTCTTCCCTAGTCTTCAATAAAACTTCGTCAACATATATTATATATAAACACCAATAAAATGTAATAGAATAAAACTAATTGAGAAAATTGTGCACTAACAAATTATCCATGCAAATATAAACTTCAAAAATCATCATTTACTAAAGCGTAAAAAACACAGAAATTTACTACGATAAAATTATAATACTAAAAAAATAAAAACTTTTTCTACTGGAAAAAGCAATAATTTTTCACTTTCAATAAGTCGGTTTTTTAATTTTTCTCTCTAAGGTTCTTCTGCAAGCTTTAAGCAGATTTCGAGTGTTTCACTCCCCAATTGATCACTCGCTGTCTTTTAGCCAATTCAGCAACGGTCCTCAATAATTTCGCCTACTCCAAAAAGTCATTGACAAACAAACAATGCAATAAAAAAGGTCACCAAAGAGTTTTTCTTCTTTATGTGTACATAGTTTGCTTCATACAGCCAAAGCCAAAGGTGTGAATGATCAAATTAGTGTTAATTAAACGGAAAGGTCATCACTAATACAAGTACACAAATATCTACCAGTTATTTCTACATGCTGTTGCTTTTGCTGGTATCTGTTCAGAACAATATAATAACACTATCTTCGTTGCTTTTCTCCATTACGCGCGCTGTATAATGCTACTGACCAGTACATAAAATGAAGTGCCAAAAATTCCACTTTCTTCTGCTGTAAAATTCAGTAAATATATAAAGCACTATTTACTTTCCTCCAAATTCTGCCCTAGAACTGCATAAGTAATGAAAAAATAGTATTTGCAGAGGGAAAACTTATTCTCTAAAGGTATAGCTCTGTAAAAGTTGACAAATAATGATAACAGCAAAAAGATAAAATAACTTATAAGTTGCTGAGTTACAGATGAAACAAATACGAACAATAACCTACTGTTTTATTTTTTTGAAAAAAGTTCTGTCAATCTCCCACTTATAAAAATGTCGCAAAAACCCGTCAGTATTCATTATAGTGTCAAAAAAACCGTTACCGTTTTTTCACTGATGATCATACAGAGCACTTAATCTAAACTGAAAACTCAAAGTGCGCACCTACATTCATTTTTCTCATACTTAACTCTAAAGAATTATATTCTTACTTGGTCTAAAAATTTTCATACCTGTATTAGTTACGATATTTTTATATTTTATAAAACAAAAACCTGACCAATAAACTGAGTTCACCAGAGGGATGAAACTGTATTTCAAACGAATCATAGATGGATCAGCGGAAATTTAACCTAGTCTCTTAACAACCAATCAAAGAAGACAAATACATAATTTAAAGTCTACTTGAGGCTTGAAATCATCGATCTTCAACGTAGAATCTTTTTAATTTTCACAGTTTAAAGCAAAACATTTCAGTGTTGTAAATGCTGCCAAAACAATAAACAACAATGCTTCTGTCCCACACTCACGGCAATAAATGAACAGTATTAAACTTTTTTTTCCTTGTCCATTATTTTGATGTTAAAAAATTGAGGACGTTGTAAAAACCTAATAAACTCTTATATGCCACAAGTACTAGGTGGAATAATGACTAACCGTACGGAAGCTCGATACAGCTAAGACAAGCAGGTACAAAACTGTCAATATTATGAATAAGACAAGAAAAAGAATCCTTGACTACCTATAGTACCAACTGTACATCTAAAGAATATATCAGATATATCTTTGAAACTCATAATTTGTTCAAACTAGTTTAAGTGTCTTTAAAAGAACCATTTGTGCGTACGGTGAAGTTAATATCGAAAAATAAACAGGCAAATTGGAAAGCTTTACCTTTTGAGACTTGCAAGTCTTTTCTAAACTTTGAACATCATGATTTGTGTGTCGTATTTCTTGAAGACAAACGCAACAGACGGCTGTTCTACAGATCGTACAATACATAGACAGTAATTCTGATGGATGATTCATGCATCTGCAGTCTTTCAAAGCACCAATTGGTGTTCTAGCACGCTTTCTATAACAAAAAACCAAATTATCTTTTTCTAAAATATCTATTTTTTGAAAAAATTTTGTTTCTGACAATCCCCCACTCAATGTAACAAACGACATTAAACCTGGCAGACGGAGGCACCAACTTATGGGATGCTAAAGGCCCACGAGCCGGATGCAGCGACGACTGACAAGCTGAGCAGTAATAGATGTCGCATTGCTCACAAAATACTGATGCCTCTTCTGGCTTGTCACCATCGCAAAGCTGAGAAAAGATCAGACTTAGTCTTCATGACAAAAACTCTTTAAAATCAGAACGGGCATCTATGCAAACAGTAATTTCCGGTAACTGTAGTATGATTACAAAACATAAAAAAATTAATAAATGTAACATTTACTTGACAATTCGGCTTTTGATCATTAACTGGTTTTTCTTTCACATTACTATTTGATCGATACCTTAAAAAATGAATGGTAGTAAAAACGATAAATTCTCACATCTGCATCACAATAAAAACCGAATCAAAAGTTGGGTAAAAACGAAAATAAAGTGTATTAGTCAATAGGACTATAAACATCTGTCAAGAAAATCCAAAACTGCAATAAAATAGAAAGCTGCTAGTTACATATTTAGTATTTTCTTTTTTATTTCGCACTTTCTGTCAAACGTTCTTTCTCACAGTTATTATTCCAATCCTCATCTCATAAATTTTATATTGCATCTTTCAAAGCAAATTTCACACATTTTCCAATCAAAATGGCTACATTTTTTCCTTTCTGCCCCGAGTTAGAAGTCTATCCGTGTTCTTTTCTTTTCCTTAGAATAGGATATTTTCAACTTTTTGCACATAAAGTCAATAAGTTATTACAATTATTAAAATTACACCTTCACCTTCTTATATGTATTTACAACTTGCCTGTTAATAACATTGACCAAGGCAGTATTAGACGGCAAACTTAAAACCGTCTGTTCATCCGGATAATATGTCGGTTTGTGGCATGATTTGCAGCAAATACTGCAACCGGAAGTAGATGGTGTTAAGATGGGAGGTAATCGGTGGTACAATGTAGTTGATAAGTATGATGCTCCACCAATCAATGAAGCTGGTCTAGAATCTAAAAATACTTTCAATTTTTCATTGATGTAATTTTTTGCTAAAAATTCTGAGCATAATTCATTGGAATTAAACACATCCTGATTAAAAAGAAATGCAAAATTAGCCTAGTTTTTTTTGCTTCTTAATGCTTTTCCCTTCAATCTGAAAACAAAGTTGCAAAATTTTCGGCAACCCTTTGAAACCCATAAAATAAGTGCCTTTTTTTATTTTCATTATATTGTTAATTCTCTTTATCTTAACAGAAAAGGCTTATTTTATTTACAAAAATAATGGAGATATAATATGAACTGTTTACAATAAATCCGTAATCAAAGTTTCCAGCTGTTATAAGCCCTTTTCTCGGTTTTATGCCTATGTCAGATGTATAAAAAAAAAATAAATAAATAAACAAAGCAATGTAAAGTACTGACTCCTTCCGCATACAACTACACCACTATCGGTTTCCGATACAACAGATAATTTGTCGCTTTCCTGATCCTGCTCAGACACGCACAGCGAAATTGTATCGCTAGCAGCTGCAAGCAGACGTTTTTAATAAGGATAATCAAAGTTACCAAAATCCCAAAATCCTTTTTACAACTGATTAAACCATTAAGAAAAAATATATTGGAGGATAAAATCAAGTAAAAACAAATACCACTACTAGAAGATGGTGGAGACAGAGGCGTACTGGAGTGAATGTGGGCCAGAAGCGTTGGAGGTACCGTGGAGTGTGAAGTCGCTGGACTTTGTTGACAGGGTCCCTGCTGGGAAGTAACTGCACATTGCCGACAGTAACTGTGACCACAGTCCAACAGGATAGGATCTTGAATATCAAAAATTATCAGTGGCTCAGTAATAAACTTTTTAATTGCAGTACTTATGCTTAAAAACGGTAGTTTCTTTTATTTTCAGCCAGTTTTGTTAGACCATTTCAATTATAAAGAAGGTATAAAAAAATTTAGTGAAAGTAATAAAAAAGATAAGAATAAACGGTATTACGTAAGATTTATGAGATTTGTGAATTTCAAGGTCACAAGTAAACAATAAGGAAAGGAAAGGAAAGAAAAGAAAAGAAAAAGAAAAGAAAGAAACACTAATCGCACCTGTTGCAAACTGTTGGCAGTTTGGACATTTCAACTCCTCTTCCATTGGAAATTAGTTGCCTAATTTTGAGGCTCAATAAATAATATTTTTGCTTGATAACAATCAGCAATCGAACCGTTATTAGACTTTTTGATTGCTGTCACCCACCCAGAACTTTTGGTCACCTTAAATTGATTCATTACAGAATTGCAGTCTTATTTTCACCAATGATAATCAACCCGTAGTCTTAGTTACAGCAATAATGTACGAAAAATGATAAAAATAAAGAAAAAAAAAAACATTTTCTATTCAAGTAAAAATGATTGGACAATCTTCAAACACCATACGGTTGCCTTTCATGGAAAAAAAGCACTGGTGAAAGTGATGACAGAAAGGCAATGATCATTACATAATTTATAAAACAGAATTGGGGATACGAAACAACAGCATTAAATAATGGCATAAAGAACAAAGATGCTGTTCAAAAACTAGCCAGCTTATCAAACACACCTTTGTTTAGCAGAATAATATTGAAGCCAAACATCACAACAATACCACAATGACCTTAAAAGTCATTTTCTGAATATTTATGAACTCGTTGCATCGCTCTGCATGCAACCTACCATTAATTTGACCGTTTGAAAACCTGTGACTTCAACTAAAGGTCAGTCAGTATTTAGTGGACGACAACTGAGTGCAGATGCAGTACTAAAATTCTTTCAAATTCAACTTCACTAAACAACAACTTCTTCTTCCGTCCTCGCTCTCAGAAAAAAATTTCTTTTTGAAATTTTTCCTTTTCCTATTTCCTTCACTTAAGTGAAGTTAAATATCACTTAGTCAGTTGTTGTTAAAAAGATATGCTCATCAAGGTAAAAACTGCAAAAAAAAGAAAGTGATTTCAAGAAGTAAAAAGTAAAAATAAAAATGAGACTAAAGTGACAAAAAAAACTTAAACAAATTGTGCAGCAATTCTGTCCGCATACCAATAAGTGTAACTGCAAGACAAAAAACCTCAGTTTAATAGACGAACATGAACTCAGCTATAGTTTTTTTTTTTTT